CCCCTTCATATTCACCTTCACACGCCACGGCAATAGCTTTCTGCACAGGTTTGGATTTTTAATTTCATTTGTGAGTGTAGGAGTTCATCACCAAGTGGTGATCAGTGGCATATATAGAAAGGGGAGGTAAGGTGCAAACGTCTTCTTGGCTAAATACGTCTCAATCTTACTGTCCATTACCCTGCTATGTCCCTGCTGTGGGGAAGGCAGAGATTCTCTGGAGCGGAAGATGCCACTCCGAGAAAATAACGCAGTTTGGGGATAGAAATGCCCACTAGGTACTGATTAGGTCAAACTGATTCTCTCCTGTGCCCTAAAGCAGGTTTGGATCACATCTCTCCAGCGGCGGCAATCGAGTGCAGCAGCTTTTTAACTGGGCTCTGTTTTACAGGCCTGAACAAAACTAGATGCCACTCATTTTTCACACGGTTACCGCTGGACAGGAGCTCCTTCCCCTGGCTAAACCGGTCCATTTAAAATGTGAAGAAGCTGCTTTAGCAGTTGCACTGTCATAAAACCAGCCTCAGAGGTGCAGGCACACGCGGTTTCCATTCAGCACAACATTGCAAGAACAGAATCTATGTGACATAGCTGGTGCATATTTCATGTGCTAGCCCAGGGCGGTCAGAGCGCACAGTAATCAGAGATATTTTCCACCTCTAACATCTGTTAGGTTATCTAGTCCATCCCCCTTCCAATGCAGGATTGCTCTTTATAGTAGATTCCCTGGAGTTCGGAGGGTAAGAAATGCTTTCACTTGTGAGCCTAACAAAACCACGCTATTACCTATTGAATGACAAGCCTCAAATATTTAAGCATCTGTCCCAAAAGAGAAGGTTAAAAATGAACTTTCCACGTGAGGCTGTTCAGGGCGGGGAGGGAGATTATTTTCCAGACAACATTTCTAGTCTCATTTTAATGATAGAAAACAATGGAGCTTTCGTTAAGATTAAGGAACTTTGTCTGCCAGCCTGATCGACCCCTCTGTTCTCAGAAGTACAGCCACCTCCCGTAGTTTGACAGGAGACGTAGCTCTATGGCTGTTGACCAGTGAAGTCAAAAGGAGCTCTTAGCTCGAGTCCAAAATACCTGTTTCTACTTGCCAAATAGAATACACACGCAACACAACTGATATAGCCCCACTTACATTGTTACAGATAAGAAACCACGTCATTTACGTCTCTTGTATTGAAACGCATCCACTGTACACACAATTAAACTGTCTTAGATAACGTTTTAATTCTTTTCCCTGCCCCGAGAACTGATCTGAGTGCTGCTGGAAAATATGATTATTCCAACTACAATATAGCACAGGAAATGATGCTTTGGAGATGACCCTTTTTGTAGTGAAATATGTGCTCCGTGCATCTAAATGCCTTGATCAAGTTATTACATCATCAGCATTTATTTCCATTTATAAGATTTGTATCCATGAGAGTCAGTCAAGAATTCTGTAAGAGCGATCACTCTTCCCTTATCTATTTTGTCTAGGAGATTTCAACCCAACTATTTTCCTTTGGTTTCCTGTGTTATTAGGTGTCCTGTATCTGCAGCTTGGTGAAGTTATATTTAAAAAAAAAAAACGTTGCCACAAAATCCTACATTTTTATTCAAGTCTGATTCTCCCTTTGAGTCTTTAGACCAGTGGTTCCCAAACTTGTTCCACTGCTTGTGCAGGGAAATCCCCTGGCGAGCCTTTCCCTGGCGAGCCAGGCCGGTTTGTTTACCTGCTGCGTCCGCAGGTTCGGCCGATCGCGGCTCCCACTGCCCGCGGTTCGCCGCTCCAGGCCAACGGGACCTACTGGAAGCGGCGCGGGCCACTGCTTTAGACCAATCAAGAGACCAAAGGAGTCCAACTTGGGTTTGCTCAAGTAACGGCTGAGAGGAGGGGTGAATAGCCCCAGGACAGTGTGAAGCACCCTGTTACGGACGCCGAGATTACTGACCTGGTCTAAACGAAGAGCACCATCAATGAAGCGCTGTTTGCGCAGATGCTTGGCGATTTGGTGGAGGTTCAGGACAGCTTGGTGAATTTCGTCGACTGTGTGCTGGGGAGAGACTGGAGGCAGTTCTTCTGGCTCAAAAACCTTGCTGGGGTTTTCAATCATACTTTGTGCATGATCATAGCTCAGCTTCACGCAGGAACAGATAACGGTTCGCCCGAACCATTCATCGAGGATCTGCAAAATCAGAAAATGTAAACAAAGTCATTCACTACAAGAGGAGGATCCTGCCATCCTTCACACCAGCTTATGCCTTTTTTCCTCATGTTAAAAATAAAAAAGATCCAATTAAACAGAGAAGGGGCTTGTGTGCAGATTGGTAGATAGAACCCTGAACACGGGCACCTAAACTTTGCCCAGGTGACAGTCTAATTGGAAACCTACTAGAAGCTGGAGGGTCACATCTAATATCCAGCAGGGGTGTGGCCAAGAGAGAACATAAGCTGTGCCCTGAGGTTAATAGTCTTGCTTGGATCAAGACAGGGGACTGCCTGCCGAGACCTCCATGTCAGACAAATGTTTGTAGGCTACACTGTAGAAGTACATGGGCTGTACGTACTTTGGCCCCTGTTGGTCCTCACCTACCAATCTCCATCCCTCTCATTTCAATGGGTCTTAAACCTATTACTCAGGCCAGGGTTCAGCCCAAAGAATCGCAAGGAATAATCCGTGAGTTTCCACAATCTTTCTGATCCAACAAAGAAACGTTGCCAGTAAGCGCATATGAAATCAATTAAAAAAAATTCAAACAGAAACCACCCATATTTTTAAACTATTTAATAAAATGTCTCTCTGGAATTTAATCTTAAATTATTCGTTAGGACAGAAAGGAAAAGAGCCATATTTTTGGATGCAGCATGGTACCAACATTGCAAAGCTGCTCAGAGTGGTGAGAATGTGATGGGACAATGGGGAACGGGCTTTGGATCAGGGAATCAGAATCAAAGGGTGACGGGGCGATGAGAAGTTTGGAGAAGAAGGTTGAGGGTAAAACTAAGCAGAAGTGCTTAGAGGACGAGTGGAGTGTTTTAATTCTGGCTCGACTCAAGCGGCAATCTCACACTCTCCGTTGGCGCAACAGGGCCACTCAAGGAGGAGGTACCTTTGGCAAGCGGGAGTATCCCAGGTCTCGGTAAGGCAGAGTGAATCAGGGCATTGCCGGAGGAGGGCATGAACCGGGGAAGGATTTGCCATTGACGGAGCTGATTCACCCCCCCTTACACTCCTCCTATTCACCTCCTTAGCGCACCAGCATGCGCACGTGCAGCATAACTCAACAGACTGGAGAACTGCACATCAATGGGCATCTAGGTCTAGCTCCTATTAAATGAGGTCGTGTCCTGAACACTGGGACACATTTTTCTACATCTTCAGCAACTAGAGGGTAAGGTCTTCGGATTTAAAGTTCTCAGAAGTGTAGCTGATGATGTAGAGGGGTGTGTGTGTGTGTATATCATATGTGCACTTCAGAGAAATTATTACAATTAACAGAACTTAAGGAATTAGCTATCCTCCTATTTTAAAAGCTATTCTGTCCGATCTCTGCTCCACTGCGTCCTATTAAGTTTAGTTTAACACTCGTTCTGAGTTGTAGGGTGCTACTTTTACTTGGTCACTGACACTGGGGCAAAAAACTCCCTATCAAAAGCCAGGGAAGTTTCCTGTAAGGTAAAAAGCCGCTGCAGGATCTCTTTAGACACTACGCCATGGGCAAAAGGAAAAATACAAAAACAATTAGCAGGTTAAAGAAAAATAAACCATTCACGTTTTAATTAGGCAAACAAAGGGGTCCTCAAGCACCCAGAAAGATTTTGCTCAAAGTAGTGAAATGAGTGTCGGACAAGGCTGAGTTTCCTTTATTGGAACTGAACTTCTAATTTCATTCATCCACACAAACCCTCTGTAAATAAGGGAGCGCTCTCCTAGCCTGACATTTAAATGTTTTATCATCTCCCTTTTCTTGTCAATGTTCTAATCTCTTGCTATTGGTAACAGCTGCATTAAAACAAGACCCTTATCAAACCTGGTTCTCACCACTGTAAGATCCAAAACTATAATGATTTAGGCACTTAGGTACTAATTATGTCTAGCGGTAGGTGAAATAATTCCATCCAGTAAA